ACAAGTCACCATCACCATGGAGACCACCATAGCCCAGGTCACCATCACCATGGAGACCATCACGGTACAAGTCACCATCACCATGGAGACCACCATAGCCCAGGTCACCATCACCATGGAGACCATCACGGTACAAGTCACCATCACCATGGAGACCACCACAGTGCAGGTCACTATCATCATGGAAACCTTCACAGTCCAGGCCATCATCATCATGGAGGTCACCACAGTCCAGGCCGTCATCAAGATGCAGAACTCCACCACCATGGAGATGACCGCAATGCAGGCCACCATCATCATGAAGACCACCACAGTCCAGGCCACCATCATGACACAGAGCACCACAGTCCAGGCCACCATCATCATGAAGACCACCACAGTCCAGGCCACCATCATGACACAGAGCACCACAGTCCAGGCCATCATCCTCATGTTGACCATCATAATCTGGGTCACCACCATCATGGTGGCAACCACAGCCCAGGCCACCATCGTGACACAGAGCACCACAGCCCAGGCCACCATCGTGACACAGAGCACCACAGTCCAGGCCACCATCATGACACAGAGCACCACAGTCCAGCCCCCCATCATCATGACGTTGACCACCATAGTATAAGTCACCATCATCATGGTGACCACCACAGACCAGGTCATCATCATCACCAAGACCACCACAGTCCAAGCCATCATCATCATCATCGTCATCATCATCAAGACCACGACAGTCCAGGCCATCATCATGACACAGGCCTCCACAATTCAGACCACCATCATCATGGAGCTCTCCACAGTCCAGACCATCATCTCCACCCTAAACACCCTCACAGTCCTGACCACAGCCACACTCCAGGTCATCATTCTCATCATAAAATCCACCACAGTCCAGACCACCATGAACATGGAGACCATCACAGTCCAAGCCATCACCACAAGGTTCATCACAGTCAAGGCCAGAATCATGGGGACCAGCATAATCTAGACCATTGTAATTATGGAGACCAGAACACTCCAGGTCATAATCATGGACATGACCACAGTCCAGGCCATCATCATAAAGAACACCACAATCCAGACCATCCAGATTTTGGGGATCAGGACACTCCACGCTATCTTCAGGGAGATGACCACAATCAAAGCCATCATCATGGAGACCACCACAGCCCAAGCCATGCTCATGAAGTGCAACACAGTCTAGGTGACCATCATGAAGATCCCCACCATTCACACCATCATTATGAAAGTCACAGCAGTCCAGGCCATGAACAGACAGTCCACCATAGTCCAAGCAGTGTTCATGAAACTCATTGTAGTCCAGCTAGTCATCAGGAAGATGACTGTCACAGTCCAAGTCCTCACCATGAAAGCTACCATACCCCAGGTCATCAACATAGAGACCATCACAATCCAGATGTTCAGCGTCATCATGTTGAATACCACCAAACAAATCTTCATCATGACCATCACCCTGAATCTTCGGCAGATCTGAGCCTGAACAGTGATCTTGAACACAACACTCTTGATGATCATCATCATAATTTAAAGGAGTATTCTGCTATTAGTTCACCTTCACACAGAAAGCCAGAATGTCTTGTCAGCACTGATTCCCCCAGCAACACAAATAATCCCTCTGGTTTGGATGAAGAACGGACAAGTTTCTCCAGGCCATTCCATGTTAAAGTATGGTCTTACTTTTCAAGTCTAAACTTCTGCATGCAATCTATCTTTAGAGTTCGTTCACTTTTAGGGAAGAGTCACAAAAAAACCCATAAGTTATGTAACAATATTTGTCTCATTTGTTTTCCTATTGATTCTGGCAAGTGCATGCACGGCATGGTGGAAAATACATTATTTGCAGCAGAACAATAGATTAGACACTATGCACAAAAGTAATGGAAATCAATTCAGCATCCAAACTAAATGTTTTTATTCTTATGTCCTTTTTAAACCTCTTTAGTTTTTAGACTTTAGCAGTACAGCAGTACTTCCATTTGAATGTGTTTCATCTCACCAACATATTTCTTTCTTTTCCCATACAGGAAAAATCGCATGACTTTGGCAGGATCATGTAAGCCCAATGTTTTCCTTTAGGGCAATAGTCTCAACCTGCATTCCTCAAGGGACAGAGTCCAGCAACCTTTAGACATGTTTCTTGTCTTACAGACCTGAATTAAATGGCGAAACGTCCTCACTAGCATGCAGTCACGCTATACAGAGCTATGCTAATTAGCTAATATTAGCAGAGAGACCTCTGAAAGTTTCAGGACTGTGGCTGTTGAGGACTGGCGTTTGAGATCGCTGCTTCAGGGTTTTGCTAACTGAAAAAGTTATAAAGTGATGGCGGTAACTTAGTGAAGTGTTTTTCTTTTACTTTTTGTTTGTCTAGGATACTGCAAAACCAAAATGAAAGTCTGCAGCAAAGTTTACTGAAGACAGCAGTGAGGATGGAGTGCTTGGGAGAAGAGTTCATCAGTAGCCAGAAGATCCTGGAAACTGAACTTCAGAGGACTCGCATGGAGCTCAGCAACCTCATGGGCAGGTTTAGCAGGTGCCTCCAGAATAAAAACATCTTCTTCAGAGGGGAATGGTTTGAGATGACACAAAGCCAAAAGCAGACTTAATAAATTCATTCCAAGCTATGCAGAATACTTTGAAGCAGATGGGCTACAGCAATGGAAAACCACGCCAGGTGCCCCTCTGTCTCCCACGAAACAGGAAACAAGGTTGCAGTTTACAAAAGCAAATTTAAAGTGTACAATAGAATAGAGGGAAAATGTTGCCTGGTAATGGGAGTCTCAGTTTTATCTAGAAAGCAGTTATTCATCCTTTCTTGCATCGATAGTTTAGGCTGCTGGTGGTGGTAGTGTCAAGGTGTGAAGGAGATAAAGATAATGTCTTGGTACATCCTGGGCCTGTTGCATCTGAGTATGAATACTGCCAATGTCCATCACTGTATTACCACGGTACAGCCATTTTCAGTCTTCCTACACAATTCCACTCAATTCTCATCTCCTTTCAATGATCCATGGGCTTTCTCTGATTTCTCATCCAAGTGGATTTCTCCAATAGAATATCAACTGGACCAACGAGTGAACTGAAGGAGAAGTTGTGAATAATAGTGTTGATTTTCTCTGCCATTTTAAGATTGTAGTTTGCCTGTAGTTTGGCAATGACAGCAGAAGGGAGGCTTTCTGTTCTTGTTGGCCCACATTTCCAAATATTGAAGTAAGATTAACAGCCATCTTGTTTGGCTTGGCACTTCTCTCTTCGCAGTGCAGGATGGTAGTTTACAGAGCAGGCAATTTCCGGTAAGCTTCATAGCATCAAACCGGCACATTACATACGTCATGGGCAAACGTGACTCCCCAGGCACTAAATCTCCATCCAAAAGAGCAGCTTTAGGTCATGGTGGAACTGGGGATCCACGTCATGGACTGACAGCAAGTCTATATCGATATAATGTTATTTTCCCAAAATGGGTTCAAATCTCCAAGGAATGTTTTACACACCTTTTTTTGAACAACTGATACAAATAACTACCACAATTGTAAAACACTTTACTGACTGGAAAGGTGCAACTGATAAAGTGGTGACTGTGCTTGCATGGTAACATGTTGCACATATATGTTCTTTATTCTGCTTCTGTCTCTTTTCTTAAGGCTCCGTGATGATTGTTCCTCCACACAACAGACCAATAGTCGTCTAGAGTTGAAGCTTCACTCAGTGGTGAGGCAGCAACTCTCCCTCAATTAACATATTCCTAAATGTTTTGGTGAGCTGTACTGTGGGCCAATTATCTTACTTACTGAAGAACCTGCGTTTTCCCTGTCTTCTCCACCAGCTTCAGAATATGGAAGGAGAACAAGAAAGGTTGAATCTGCGCATCTCCGAATTGACCGAGGAACTGAGTGACGCTCAGTATGCCAGCACCATGGAAGAAATAAACGTGAGATGTTTGCCTTTATCATCACATTCAAAGCACACACGCATTTACTAAAAGTGGGCACAGTACAATAAAATATGAATTGTATTGATTGATTTCAGTTTTTGATTTTTGTTTAACTTTATATTTTCTTGATAAGGTGTAACAGTACATTGTCAAGTATCCAAACAATACAAAGTAATGCATATTTGTGGAGTGATAGGAAACAGTTTTCGGCTTTTACTTATAGGAACTTGTAATAACCGATCAACAAATGAATGTTAGCCATGCCCTTATCCTCACCTCTAGACTTTGAGGTGCAGTTTTGACAGATTAGATTATTTCAGGGTGAAGCTGCAGGAACAGGAACTATTAAATAATTATATGGACATTATATATGTATGTACATATATGTGTGTGTCTGTCTGTGTGTGTGTGTGTGTGTGTATAGTTTTGCGTTTCAATGTTTTTGTTTTTTTTACATATTTAATATATAAGCTGTCCATCAAATTAATTATTTCAATCAAACCTTTATTTATTTCATGATATATTTAAATACTTGTTTAACAATGTGTATATTTGTTTCATTTTGTCTTTTTTAACCCTCTGTAGGTAAACACCATGTAATATTCTCACAGTCAAGCACTACTTTGTATTGGTCAATCACAGCAAAACACCGGAGATTGTGATTATGAAGTAACAAAATGTGAGAAGGTCAAAGTGGTGTAATTTAGCAAGGCACTATAACCGATTAAGTTTCAACCTCTGTTCACTTTAGGCAACAGCCGGGCCGCATCAAGTCAACCCACACTCTCATTCTGGTGACGCACTGCCGCAGATGAGTCCTCCAATCGCCCCCCCACCGGCTCAGTTCATGGACAGCCACAACTATGGGAAAGAAGCCACCTCTGCACCGGAGCAGGCTTTGGGGTCGGTTCCAGAGGAGGAGGAATCCGACTGGTCCGAGGTGGGAGAGGAGACCCCACGCCTCATACTGACGGGATCAAACAGAGGTCAGGCATGGAGGCCGGAAGAAGCGGACATGGACAAAGACAGCGAGTCGGGAAACGAGGACCAAGTGAGAAGACACTCTCCGCGCCCTCTGCAGATACCCCATCTTCAGTTCACCATTCACAACGAGTTCGTCCCGTCGTCCCACGCCAACACTTTACCTTCCGGCTTCAAGAATCTGTCTGACGGCATGTGCAAGGAGGAGAGCTACAGGATCACCACAAGTCCAAATGTCAAGTCTTCCATCCTCATCCGTTCTGCGAGCCTAGAAGAAATACCTCTGATACGCCACGACGAAGAGCTCAGAGGAACAGAGGCCGCGCGTTGCCTTCACCATTCAGCTGACGAAGCCTTCGAGGACCTCGACAATCAGATCATTCATCACTGGCGAATGAGCAGTGACAGGGACACGGTCATCAGGAGGCTGGTAAAGAGCAGAGCGCCCGAGGAAGACTGCATCCTAGCCAGCCTGCGGTCGGCGGAACAGCTGCTCAATCACTTCATATGCGACCCGACGTCGGGTGAAAGAAGAGACCCGGCCAGGTTTGAGATGCACGGTTGGACCGGGGAGATTCCGGAGGAGGTCCTGAAAGGGGAGCGAACTCAGCTCTGACTGTGCACTGTAAAAAACCGAAACAAAACTAAACTAAAAAGCTGCTGAAGATTGAGTTTTCAAACGCTTGCTAATGTATTTATGTTTTATAATAAACTGTAAATTAGTAGTTACCTTGCCAGTTAACTTCTAATTGTATCTCATTTTCTTTTCATTGTGTTTCATGACAAGCCTTCCACTCCCTTCATCACTAGCATGTTGTTGAACTGATCACAATCCCAGCGACAAAGCAGATTCTTTTTCCTCTTCTTTCATAAACTTACCTATAATATTTATTCCGGTGTAGCATCAAAGCTTTTCGCCCAGTCCTCTTTTAAATAATGTATGATTAATGGATTTGAAATAACAGTAACAGGAGTGCGATAAAACGGTGTAAACATCGAACCACCGCGGTGCAGCTTGGATTCAGCTCCGCTGGCTAATTTGTTGCAGAATATTATGTCGGATGTTTAGGGATAGCTTTCTAAATTTTTGTGTTCTCTGTGCTGTATGAAATTGTAGACGCCATCTTGTTTGCATGTATGTTTGTATGTATTTATAGTATTTTGTCTTTATGCGACCTCTTTGTACCTTCATGAACAGTAAAACTGTGACAATACTGGATTAGCTTGTCAAAACACCTGATCACAACACATGTAGGTATGTCTATATTCCACCTAATAAAGCAAATAAGTTAGACTCAGTATGTACTTTATGCATTTGTTTTATTTCTTTATACTTAGGTTACCAACACAAATCAATATAATTGAATCTAAAAGAATAAACTTGTAGTTTTCTAACTATGTTATAAAAAATTTTTTTGGAGAGCATTAAATGTTAGCTATTACATAACCTAAATTTTACTTGAACGTAACAGTCAAATGTTGAAATGAACAATATGACCTACTTTTGCTTTATTGCCAACTTTATGTTGGTAGTAAATCTACCTAAAGAATGTGAATGAATATGACTGGATCCGGAAAAGGACAGACCCCACACATCCTGGACACAACTTGTTCAGACAGTTACATTCAGGTCGACACTAAAGAGTGCTATCTGCAAAAACCGGCTGCCATAGAGACAGTTTCTTTTCCCAGGTTGTTTCTCTGATTAACACGACAAACATCTTGCAGTGTGAGTGAGTAGTCAGCTACTCTGCTGTGAAACAAAAATCTATTTATTTTCACTATCACAACCTACCTTTCTCTTTTTTCTTTATATGTAAAAAAAAGTCTAATAAAAAAATTTACTCTATATTAAACAGAAAAAAATAAAATAAAGTTGTTTCTGTTTCCAAAACGATTTCATTTCTCTATATTTACATTTAACATCAGAGTGATAGGTATTCTGTGTAGGGAATGTTATGAGCCTATTAATGCTGTGCTGAGAGTTATATTTGTCTCTCTAAACTCCTCAGTAGCATTAGAAGATAATCATTACTAATACTCTGCTACTTCACTGGTTATGGCAACAGAAATATTTTATCTTAGTAAAAGTTGTCAAGTACAATACAAGTAATTTATTAGCCCTCAAACCTTCAATGCTCCATTATAGTTGAAAATATTGAAAGGAAAATCATACAAATTTGCTCTGTGCAAAATTCTGAATGAATCTATATATTTTACATGTCTGATTTATTTCTAGTAGCCTCATATTTATTTAGATTTATAGAATAAAGATATTTAAAATTATGTCCCTAAGCACGAGTGTTTTCACAAATAATGACTTCAGTAAGAATATCTTCCTGTCAGATTCGATAAGGCTCGTCGTTCCCGTCCCAGTGTGTGAGTAATGTGTGCTGAGCAGACATTGGCCTGGATCCACAGACCGGTTTAATAGGATAGGTAGGCATTAGCAGTAAGACGCTCCCACCATGCAGTGTGCCAAATCCACTGTGTGGCACACAGGAAGACGTCCGGTGGTCAGCGGAGAACTGGACTTTTTCACGACGTTTTGTGGAGACCAATAAGGTGAACTTTGGGGCATTCACATCTGTTTATTTTGAGGTGACACCACTGGAGATGTTGAAAAAAAAAAAGTTTTTAATCTTACAGGATCTGGAGAGAGGTTTTCTAAATTTCTCACTATTTTTCTTTTTGTGCAGCTCAGTTGTCATCTTTCAGTTTTATTGAAATTCATCTTCACCCTGAGACTTTTGGGGTCTCTTAACTCTAAACTCTTCTCTCGCCTCGCAGACAAAACACAGCATCGTCTCTCGCTGGCTCGTCGCTCTCCTTCCCCTTCTCCCCCGGTGAGACTCGGATCCCCCCAAAACCCTGCGCTGCAACCATGGTGGTCATGAAGATGAAGTTCCCCTTCCAAAAACGGGTGAAGCTGGCACAGGGACTGTGGCTCCTGTCCTGGTGTGCCACGGTTGCCGGGGCCACGACCTTTACCCTGGGGTGCCTCCTGAAAACGGAGCTGCGCAGGAGAGCGGAGGTATTTGCTGTGATGCCTGTCAAATCCTTGGTATCTTTTTATTATATAATGTTTAGCATCATTACTAGCTGAAATCATAACATTTAATTTAGAGCTTTATTGAAGGAGTTATTGATATGAAATGCAAAACTATTATGCAGTTTATGTTTGTCTGTATTAGAAATGTAATCTATGAAATCACAGCTGTAACTTCTGGTATGATGCAAAAATAACAAGTTTTGGACTTTTTTGTGTGCAAGTTTTAGGATACTATTGCTGATGCAAAGTATCAAAACATTTGTCAAACATCATCATGGACTTTGGGAATATATTTGTAGTTTGACAAATTGGTCAGTATAACACAAAACATCATTAACTCTGAACCTGCAAAGGTTTACAGACCTTTGACCCACTTTGGATCCTGACTAATCATTTCTTAAATCAGAGTCTCGGTCAAACTAATCCCTTATTCTGAAGGCTGTCACGTTTTCCTCACATAAATCAGTGTGCTTTTATTTGAGCTTATTTAATTTTTTTATCTTGTATCAACTAGAACATGTACTTTTACATAGTACTTTGCACGGATTTGCAAAGTAAAGAAAGAAAATGTCGACTGTGTTACAAGTACTGTTGGTCACTTGGATGTTCTGGTATGTTTTATGGTCTGATGGGACAAAGATTGAGCTAAAAATTCAAAAGTTTTCTAGAAAACACAAAAGAAAGCAGAAACAAAGGAGCCTAAATATTCTTCACTCATTTAAGAGCAAAAATCCCTATTGCTTTTTATAGCACCACCCAGTGGTAAACTGATGTTAAAGCCCTTCCAGCGCTGCTGCAGAGCACATGAGCGAGTTTAAGGTCAAAATACAGCAGTTATGATCTCACTTCAATGTTTTGAAAAAAGTTTTAAAAAAAGAAAGGTGTGAAGGTTATGTGTACAGATAATTTTTTAAAAAGAACAGTGAAAGTAGTTTGCATTGTTTCAATTGAATATGACTTCAGTAAATCAGAAATGAACTGCCTCAGTCGAACAGTTCACTGCATTGTGATGCATCATCTCTTTGTGGATACATGGAACCAGTAGCATATTTTCCACATAGTTTTTTATTAATGAGTGCACATAAATTTATGATGTAGAGTTCATAATCAAAGAAACCTAACTTACTGAATTTCTGCATTTTGCATGTCCGACTTTCAGGTAATGGCTAACACAGACATACATATCGTGCCCAACACCCTCATGATTGTTGGGCTGGCGTCTTTGGGCATCAACTACTTTGCCTCGAAGATCTGTCAGGACGCCTTGGACGCCGGCCGATTCCCTCGCTGGAAGAACTTCCTGAAGCCCTACTTCGCTGTCTCGTGCTTCTTCACCGTCCTCATGCTGCTCGCCATCATCATGAGCTATGCCATGAAGGGCAGCTTGGAGTCTTCGCTGAAAGCCGGCCTGCGGAATGGCATCCGCTTCTACAAGGACACGGACACCCCGGGCCGTTGCTTCCAGAAGCAGAACATCGACCGCTTACAGATGGAGTTCCAGTGCTGCGGGAACAATGACTTCAGGGACTGGTTTGAGATCCAGTGGATCAGCAACCGCTACCTTGACTTCAGCTCCACGGAAGTGAAAAAGTAAGTAGATGAGACCAAAAGAGCTCCCTATGAAGACGTATCCATAGAGAACTCTTCCTGAGGCAGTGGTTTCTTACGTCTTTCTGTAGCCGCATCAAGAGCAACGTAGACGGACGCTACCTGGTGGATGGAGTCCCGTTCAGCTGCTGCAACCCCAGCTCTCCACGACCATGCATCCAGTATCGCCTGACCAACAACTCAGCTCACTACAACTACGACTACCAAACCGAGGAGCTCAACATCTACCTTAGAGGCTGCAGAGAGGCCCTGGTCAACTACTACATGGGTTTGATGAACACCATTGGAGCTGGAGTGCTGTCCATCTTCCTCCTGCAGGTAAACTTGGAAAAATTTTAAGTTGACTGCTGCTAATTTTAAACTGGTGTTTCCATTGACCTCTGGCTTTCTGTTAATTGGTAAATAAGAAACAAAGTCCCTTATTGCAGCAGGTTGAGTTGATATTTACATTGCCAGCCTCTCATTCCTTCCTTCGTTTCTTTCCCTGCCTAAGGGCTCCGTTCTGGTGAGCTTGCGCTTCCTGCAGACTGCCATGGAAGCAGTGGCCGGGAAGGAGAACACGGAGATCGAAACCGAAGGGTACTTGCTGGAGAAGGGAGTGAAGGAAACCGTCATGGAGTACCTCGATCCTGTGCTCACGTTCCTGCTGCTCAAAAACAAGGTGGAAGAAGGGACAGCCGGAGAGACGACCACTGCGCCCGCCTAAACTAAACCGCACACCCTGTATAGACATGTAAATAATTTTTACAGAGATCATTATTTATTTCAATTTAAAAAAAAGGGCAATTCAAACAAACAAATGTCTATGAATCTCACAAGATTAGAGAGTGGGGTTTTTTTTATTGTCAGTTGGACGATGCCAGATAATTCAGAATGGTCTTCAAATTAAAACTCCACCCAGGAACCTTCAGTACAAATAAAAGAAGCACAAAAGTTACAGTAAAAATAAAAAAAACCAAAGAATTTTCTAGGAATATACATTGTCAAAATAAAGTACCACTTTTTTAAATTCCTTTCTACTTTTTCCTGTTGCGACCTGTCCGTGACTGGTAACCCGTCACTGTTGTTCTGTGTTTGTTTGTTGCTTTTGAAAGTGATCTACCATTTGCATTCTTACGACCAAAAGCAATAAATCAGTATTTGATGAGGCAGTGTACACAGATGATTTTTGTGGACTTATGAAAACAGAGATGTAAAGCTGACCGTAGAGAGACATGAGGCGCAATGCTCTGCTGCGTAACAGGACTATGACATAATTTAACAGATGACTTATTAAAGTTTGAAGTTACTAAATGCCTTATGGCGTGGCGTCCCTTTTCCTTTTTTTTCTAACATAAATAAAGCACATTCGAGTATTGTAATACATTTCTCTTCATGGCGAATCCTCTGGCCTGCATCTCTGCCCTTGCTTCTCCTCTCTCATGAAGGAATAGGATTAAGAAGATTGATTAAGCGGTGTCAGTAATTCAGTTAAAGCCATCAAGTGTGTGCCCTGTCCTGACACCTTTGTTAAAGCTGCTAAACCCATTTACAGCTGTAATCCCCATCCTGCTGAACTTTGCATTTACTCACCTGTGTCAGGTGGAGGGAACAAGCGAAAATGTAAACAATTCTGTGGCATACAATTTGACAAAACCCCTAAGAGTTTGGATGTTCTGTTCTTTGAATATGGATCTTATTTTTTCAAGTTTGTTTTTCAGTCTGTGGAAATGTTATTAATGGCTGCTACAACTACAACTATTAGTAATAAAAAACAAATAATATTAATTAGTATTATTACTGACTGCATAGTGGTGGGGTTGTTAGCACTTTTGGCTTGCTTAAAGAAGGTCCTGGTTTTGAATCCACAGTTTGCATGGTCTCCATGGACATATGTGGCTTTTCTCAGAGTATAACAAACTACATACATGTTAGGTTATTTACATGGTGCATGCTTTGTCCTGTGATGGACTAGCACAATGTCCAGGATGGCTGTAAGCCATTATCCTCTGCAAGTTGCCATTTTTTTTGTCTCAAATATGCAAAAACTGCTCTCTAATTATCTAATTACAATTCAATAGCTTGTTGTTCAATCGGTTGTTTTTATAATAATAATAATAATAATAATAATAATAATAATAATAATAATAATAATAATAATAATAATAATAATAAATTTATTTATTATTTATTTCTTTATTCATTTTGTCTCTATTGTGTTTGCACGGTTTTATTTTGCTTATAATCTCTCATTTGTGGACGGATCAACAAAGACTTGCCTGGATAAAAAAAACAAAATAATCTCCTTGATGGATTTCAGTGACGATGACGTACCTATTACGTAAGGTGACGACTGCGCGCTCTTTAGTTTTCAACTTGTTTTCGGGATTAAATCTTTTTGGCCTCGCTATAAACATATCGCTCATTTAGACAAAAGGGAAATTATAAATCACCATGGAGGTAGACATTTGCTATAAGTCACTTCAATAAAGTATTCGTATTTAAAAGTTTCTCCGTCCTGCTGAGGTTAAGAGCTTTTGATATTAACCACAACGCGCCCTGATGAGGAACCGGTCAGAATGATCGAATCGTTCAGCTACCACACACTCTCTGCCCGGAAAGCTAATTTCGGGCGCCTGGCTAACCCTTCCTCGCTGGAAAAACACCGCAGCAACGAACTGCTTGTTGACTCATGTATTTAGCAGTTTTTGTTACAATATCAGAATTTTGTCCCAGGAAAACGCAGCGAGTGAAGGTGAATTTACCATAATACAGGTAGGTGACCGGAACGTCTGTTTATTTCTACAGACTGCAGGAAAGAACATTGAAAGTTAGCTGATGGGCCAGAGATAAGTGTTCAAATTGGCAAAGTAGCTCCTGAATAACATAACATAACATACTAAAGTAAAAGCAAAACCCGTCACTCCGAGGTGGTGGTGTTTAAATCGTTAACATAGCAACTTGTTTCGTCTCTGAGCTAGCATTAGCTAACGGTAATTTGATTTGGTGATGATGGATTTTTCCCCCCGAAACCCTTATCTGTTAGGCTGTCATTCCTGTTAGACCTGGGCAGGGAATCAACTAATGTCCTTGAGACAGCTTCCCCTTTCTGTCTGTAAAGGCATTAGACGTTTAAGAAACTTACCAAACACAAATTTGCTTGAGTTAAAAAAACAAAACAAAACAAAAACAAAGCAGACGGAAAGAAAAACAGAAGAATGGACATTTTGGGCCAACCACAGTCGCCCAGTACGTTGAATTATTCCCAGTAAGGATCCCTTAAGGCGACACACTGACTGTCAGTAAGGACAGTTGGTTTATTTTAGCATACGTGTTAAATAATATGGTCATATAATATATGCTATTATCTACATTTTAAAGGCGCTGCTAAGGTTTGTGTTTATTAAAACACACATTGGAGGGGTGAAATCTGTATTTACACCCATCAGTCAATTCAAGAGTAGACCAAACAAAACAAAACGTTCCTTTCCCAATCTGCACTCTCCAGCTCCTAAAGGAGGAAGATGTAAATAATACTTGTCAACAGGTTCTCCTACCTGAGCTGTGAACGTTCCCAGCTCCTCCAGAGTCACAACGTGCCTCATGGCTGCTTCTCTAATTAATTATCTTTTTCTTTCTGCTATTTAAGTTTAGGTTGCCAGTTATGTTTGCAGTTTTGTTGTACTCTATATGATTCTATCATACCATTATTTTCCTTCCATATCACATATGTATGTATAACTTTTTGTTGATATATCACAGGAGTCTGCAACCTGTGGCTCTGCTGCTGTCTAAATGTCCTACCTGCTCTAAGTATTGGCGTTTGTGTTTCAGATAAAAGATGGAGGGTGACAACTGCAGTTTTCCTCCGGATTTGTCTGATGATCATTCGCAAAGAGGAAGTGTGGCTTCTTCCGCAACACTTTCCCGTGGTAAGGGAGGAATGAATTATCTCCTTCCTCTTTTTATTTTGTTTTTGTTTTGCCTCATAGTCTATTGAGATCATTAAGAATGGAAAAACCTCTATTGTGCTGTTGTGAACCACTTTTTGCATGTGTGTCCCACAGCTCAGGACGTGCTGGTGTATTTGTTTGGTGAGAGCGCCGTCCACTTATCCATGGAAGGGCTCGGCAGCGTCTCCGTGCAGGAGTTGGGCCGTAGCGTTCGTGAAGCCCTGCAGATCCCAGAGTCCGCACCGGATACTTTTGCCTTTTGGCTCTGTTCTCCTTTGCTTGGTAAGAACCCTTTTTTTTTTGTTTGTTTGTTTTAATGATTTGGGCATCCTGTCATCTTCTAATAAGTTCAAAACACAACTAACTGGATCGCCTTTTCTTTTATTCTGCAGAGCTGCAGCTGAAGGCGAGGCATCAGCCGTACAAGCTGTGCAGGCAGTGGCAGGATCTGCTGTATCGATTCACTGACGCGTCAGAAGACGACATTTCACAAGGTGGGAACTTGAACGGGATTAGCAGCACAAAGGGTCTTATTTGGAATATACTAATGGCCTGGGGCCATTTAACACTGAGATCGCACGTACTTTCCACACGTACTCCAGCTTCGCATGCTAATGCTAAGCGTGCCACTTAGGTTAATGTGTAGAGATAAAATAGCTGAGCATCAGCTTTCATGACTGAATGCTGTGGACTAGAGCTGAAACAATCATTTGTGAAGAATCAATTATTGAAACAATAATTAACTAATTTAGTAACGGATTAATCGTTAACTGGAGTATGCAGCCCAAAAAAAAAAATTGTTAAAAGAAGAACACACTCAGAGAAATTGAGTAAGTGTTCAAAAAATATATATATCAATTTTACATTTAAGGTTAAATTAAAAAAAATCCTTTGTTGGTTTATATTGTGCTTCTTCACATTAAAGTTTAACTGTAATAGAATTTAGAGACTTGTTTTGTCTTGCAAACCTGTGCAAATAATTATTTTCCCACTGTAACAATCCTGGTGCAATTAAAGTAGTTCTTACAGATGTGCACAATGCACAGAGTTTTTGTTTAGAGTTTTATGCTCAGAGTTTTACACCAGAGAGCTGTTATCTCTCACAAACAGACCACACAGCAGACTTTTGTTGAAGTGCTACTCGTCTCTAAACGGCTGTGAGCCGGTGACTCAGTTTGCTGTTTGTTTTTGTCTTTTCCGTGGTTATTAGCAATCAAAGTGGAAAAGCTCACATGTGTTAACTCCAAGTCACAGAAAAAGGGAACGGCAACGGCTAAAAACACCACCAAGGATATCAAAGGGAGTATTTAATTGCTTTGAAAGTTTTTTTTTTTTTTTTTTCCTTTTTGTGTAGGACGTTCTGCCCACACTCAAGGGTTGTCAGCCTGGACTGAGTGGGTTGAGTTGTCTGTAGCCTCAGTGCTCCACTCTGAATTGAGAGACTCTTGTTAAGTGTCAAATTAAATGACCTAAAAACCAGTAAACACTGACTCATCCTTATTTCCTACTTTTCTTTTCTTTTCTTTTTTTCTTTTCTCCTCAGATGAACCATATCTGCAGTACAGGCGCAACGTGTTTTACCCGAAGTCTAAAGAGCTGCAGGTAGCATCCGCACTGCGAAGCGTTCATTGGCAACTGTTACTCGTTGCACGAAGCTCTTAAGCTCGCCGTTGCGTTAGAAAACACTAATTGCGTCTCTGCTCCTCCACAGATTAAAGATGAGACTGTGTTGAGACTTCTCTACGAGGAGGCCAGGAGCAACATCCTCTCTGGCCGGTACCCGTGCGACCCGGAGCACTGGGCGGGGCTCGGCGCCTTGTCCCTCGCTCTTGAGGAGGGGCCTGGTCTTGACAGCCAGCAGATCACCACTAAAATCAGGTAAGTTGATCTGTTGGTTTGTGTTTAAGGACCGATGTTCAGAAGCTGCTGCCGTGTGGAATCTGATCAGATGAATGTGCCACAGAATCATTTCTAAAACATGCAGTTTGTCTCTGGTTCTGGTCGTCACGTCAAGAGAAGCCTTACCAACTTTATTACAATTTAAATGGCGATGCACCGGTCAGGGTTTTACCAGCCAATAACAGTTTTATTTCAGGTCTCATTCCAATTTTCCTTTCAGAACGTCACCAAAAACCTGCTAATGTTTGTGTATGAGAGTCAAAGCATATATCCGTTATTAAATAATAATAAAAAAAAATGCATCAACCAGTTAATAGATTTCTTCTCTAATTTGGAAAGCATCAGTTTTTACTTTTACAGGATGGTTGTGACTACATGGCGTAGCATTCGTAGCACCAGAAACACAAATATTGTTCTTGAAAAACATTCCCATTTTAAATAAAATGGGAATTTTATTTCCCATTTTATTTCACACAATTTTATTTAAAATTGTGTGATTTTAAATTACTAAACTGCACACAGCGGCTGTTTTTCATCGTATTTTATTGAATTCACTGATATTTATTCACTCCCACGGAGCAGTTGAGAGATGGCAAAGATAACATTTATTTTGTTATTTTATTTACCATCAATATCTGAAACTTATCATTACAACGATGAATCAAAAAATCTATTTGATGATAAATGATAAATGGTACAGGGACAACCCTGTTCCAAGAGTATTTGCTGTAAAATAATTTCAATATATCTTTGACACCACAAAAGCAAATTATCACTTTTTTCCACAGTAAAACAAAACAAAACAAAAACAAATGAGACCCAGGAATACGTTTGTTCTTGTTGGATTCAGCAGTGAATTGTCTCACAGAGGTAGAATTTAATTTCACCTTTGCCCTCTGTTGCGCGCAGGGAAAAGAAGCTGCCTTCCTTCGTGCCGGCTCACGTTGCCGTGGGCAGCGGAGGGTTTTTCTCCACCCTGCGAGGGAAATCAAGCCGCCAGGCAGAGCTGGAGCAGAAACTCTCCGAGGAGTACGGAAAGATCAGCAAGTCCACTGGAGGCTCTCCGGAGCCGCAGCAGCTCCTGCACCAGTACCTCAGCATGTGTCACACTCTGCCTTATTACGGGTAGGAGCTGTTGTGTTAGCCACTTTTTCTTTCGTTTTCTCGTGTTGACGCAACATCTACCCTCAGGTGCGCCTTTTTCTGCGGGGAGATTGACAAGCCAGTTCAAGGCATCCTCCAACGAGGAAGACGTAAAGCTGTCAGTGTCGGGATCTGCCTGGACGGAGTTTATGTGATGGACGTGAAGGAGAAGGTGAATTTTCTTTGCATTTTCTCTTGTTTTGGGGGGAAATATTGCTAACGTTGTGCGCAGTCGGACAGTTATTAGCCGTTTACTTCTTCTCGTGAAAAGTTGTCCTCTTGCCGGTCACGTCTCGTTGCAGCATGTGCTGCTCGGGCTGCGTTTCAGCGAGCTCTCGTGGGACCACAGTCGCCCCGAAGAGGAGGGGGACTCGCACATCCTGTGGCTGGAGTTTGACGGGGAGGAAGACGGCACTCCCGTCAACAAACTGCTGAAGATTTACTCAAAACAAGTAAGAAATCGGGGGAATATGGTAAAATAATCAAACGATCTTTGCTAAAATATCCACATCCCTTGAATTCCTCTGGATTTTGTCCCTTTACAAACACAAACGTCAGGGTTTCCTATTGTGATTTTATAAGTTACGTTATTAGTTGCCCCCTCAGCGCCTCAACATAAAAAGTACCAATCAGAGCGAATCAGCTGTGTTTGAAAGCAGCATTTCCTCTACTACTTCCTGTTAAACCAGTTTTTTCTCTCCACCACTTACTGGTTTTGCACCAAATTCTTGCTTCGGAAAATAAAAATATATGTTTTTTCTGAATAAAATTGCAAAAAAAAAAAATAATAATAGTAGCTAATCTGATTACTGGACTGGAAATAGAAACCCGTTAGTTTACTCGCAACTGAAAAACAGAGGTAAGTAACCTGACGCTGCTGGTGATAATCAGGAAATAATGCATAAATGGAAGCCTACAGGGTGTCAAGTGTGGTATGCATTTCTATTCAGACCCCCTTTACTACGATGCCCTAAGTAAACATTTTAAGTGTTGTGAATACTTTTGAAAGGGTGTATTTTCAGTTTTTGCTGCAGAGGGTGATGGGTGCAGTGGTCTTACATCATCAAAAGCTGCGATGGAAAAAGCCTGTTTGAGCACCAGATGGCGAAGGGGCCTTACATAACATCAGCAAATCATAATCACACTTGGGTCCAATCCGACGACGCCAGCATGACCGCTATGCGCCTCTGCTTCCCCGTTTCAGATCAAATGGAGATTAAAGCTGGTGTTTATTGTGCGGGAAAAAAAACATTGACAAAATAATCTTTTTTTTTTTTTTTTTCTAGGCCGAGTTAATGAGCGGCTTTATCGAGTTCTGCGTGGAGCTGATGTCTACGTCAGAGGGGGGCGCCGCCAACGAGCCGGGCGTTCCCCAGGAGCCCGCCAGACAGGAAGCCGGCACCAGGAACGGCCGCGGAGGGCGCCGCGGGATGCTGCAAAGGCAGGGCAGCGTCGTGTGCAGCCGGGTCCACTCCCTCAATACCATCAGCTACGTGGATAACGGTGAGTCCTCGAAATAAACATGAAATAAAAGCGAGAGGAGCGTTTCCAGCTTCTGTTGTTTTGTCTTTCAGGCAAAGAAATCAAACGCTTAAAGCCAAAAAGAGCCGCGTCCTTCTTCACTCGGCAGGCCACGGCGCCCACTTACTCTGCAGTGAACACTGAGAGCCTGGAGCAGGGTTAAACCTCTCTGCCTCCGTCTCCTCGACGACCAAACCTGAACGTTTTTACACTGAGATGTAAAAGTGAAAAATAAGACTTCTTTTTTTTTTTTTTTTTTATTCAGTTAGTCTCTGAGCAAACCAAGGACCAAGTAAGCGGTATCTATGTGTGGGTGTATTTATCGTTTTAAAGTGGTGTACAGTATGAGAGTATGTTGATGTGAAAACTTAAGATCTTTCTAAAACCCGAACCTGCAAAGATTGAACTGAACTCGCCGGGTGGCCGACGGCCATCCAAACGCTCTTCGGCGGAGTCGAACCTCAGAGAAATCCGCCAAGCGTAAACTATTTCTGAGCTCTTCTGCAGAGTGCTGTTCTTCAAACATGCCACACCTCAAAGGAGCATAAACCACCACAGTACCTCTTTTTTTTAGCTTCCTATAAAGATTGTTGCAGCTTCCCCTCAGTCAGCATGACCAACACTTTTAGGAGAGGGAGTAACTTAAGGGTGCGAAGGCTTTTTTTTTTTTTTTTTTTTTTTTTTTTTTTTCAAACTACCGGTGCCTTGTTCTCACGATCGACGGTGAAGCCAAGTAGGAGAAACACTGGTAGAAACATAAAGGGTTCACTGTTATGGCAGCACATCTGCTGTGCTGTGGAAGTTTCTTGTGAGTACATTTTCCATTTCATTTCATTTGAGGATTTTTGCATTCATCCCTTTTTTTGTGTGTGTGTGAAACTAACACATAAAAAACTGAGTGTTAAAGATTAAAGTTAGGATCAGATAATTGAAATATAAATTAACAATAAACCTAGAGATACCAGTGTTATTCTGTTATGGCGCCTTACAAAAGCATTTTTGCCAAACTGACACAAACTTCATTGTATTGTTAACCTGTTGTGAACAGACCAGCTCAAAGTGGTGGATAATTGTCAAACAGAACCACCTTTTGATTCGATTGCGAGTCTTTTTCTGTGCGTTTGTGCCAGATTTGCATATCTACAGTAGAAGAAGAAATTTTTTGCTGAGGCTTCATTGCAAAACGTCTTGCGCTCAGCCAGCCTGGACAAAAACTACAGCATGATGCTGCCACCTCCATGTAACACCTAAGGACTGTTGTGTGCAGCATTAGATTTAGATTCACTTCACAATAATGCACTACTTTTCTGTCACATGAAATCTCATTAAAATACACTGATGTTTGTTAAATGTAAGTAAAAAGGTCAATGTTTTTGCAAGTAACTTTCTAGTTGGAGCTAAGATTTGAAGTTAATCGTTTAAATTTCCACACTAGGTACCGCTGACACTAAATAAATGCTCACATTTACCCGTTATTTCATGTTATTTATTCAATCAGTCCTTACAAGCAAAAAAAAAAAAAAAAAAAAAACTACATTATAACTGTGCCTCTCCTGAAATTTAAACTAATGGTAAAGTTTTGTTATTGAAGAAGAAGAGAGAAAGCAATATCAGTGTATAGTAGAACATTTTAAAAAAAGATGGGTTTCCACTTGTCTTCTCAAGGTGTCGTGTATCACCGTGGTGCTACACGGTAAAATTTAAAAACAGCATCTTATGGCAAATCTGACTGTACTGTATGAATTTTATTCTGCACGTCAAACCAAACCTGCTTTGTCCCGGTAGATGACAGATTTCACTCCTCGATGCGTCTCTGGATTTCAGACCGATGCAACCGCCTTGAGTCTGTACTGTGCGTTTCAAATTTTACACTGAAAGAAGGAAGCCTAATATATGTAACACTGCCTTCCACCTGAACGTATGGTTTCCTTTGATAAGTGACGGCCTCACGTGTTCTTCCTCCTCTCATGCAAACTCCAGAATGTTCCTTTTTTTTTTTGAGCTTCGGATTGTGTATCAGCGACCGTCTGTAACCCCTAGCAGTCCCGACACATCGTTGCTAGCACACACTATGCATGACCCGTTGTAGAATTGTCATTCCGACAGCCTCTGCCTAATGTAATGTTGCACTAATACTAACGTAATCTTTATACAAATGTTTCCATCAGCTGACTTTTGAACTTTTGTGATTGAATACATTTACTTCCGTTTTCATGTGTTTGTGTTTGTATACAGTAATGAAGAATTAGGTCTAATCAAATGCTGTCTCTTTAAACAGTCGCTCTGAAGAAGCAGAAGTGCCTTTTTTAAAAAAAAAAACATGTAGATACCGGAGTCCCCGTTTTCATGCTTTGAAATCGGGAATTAAAATGGTTTGTATGAATTTTACCTTTCCTACTGATGTTGTCTTGTAGGCAGTCAGTTCTGCTGTCTTTTTTTAAAATCTAAAATAAAGTAAGATGTATTAAAAAAACAAAAGTGTGCTTACTACACACCTAAAAACTGTACTGTATACTGAAGCCATATTCATTTTAACAAGCATGATGCACTGTTACAACTTTTATTCTTAAAACCATCTGTAGTTTTGTTTTACAGCTGAACTAAAACATGTTCATCATTTCTATCATTACACATTTGCTGATTGTTGTTCTGTTGTAGAATACTTGTTCAGTGTGTATGAAGTAATATAAAAGATTGTGGTTCCTTTCCACGTACTCTTGTAGATATTCTGTGAAATGCACCTTTGTTTATTCTGATTCCAAAACCTGCTATAAAGACATAAAATGATACAACAGGGGAGAAGCTTTTCTTCTGTTGTGTGTGACAAAGAAGAAATTATCCATCCATACCCATCCACACTCTTAGTTGAAAATGTTTCTAGTTGGAAAAATAAATATGTCAGAGTTCAAAGTGGGAAAGTTTCAGATTTTTCACCAGCTCCAGACGGTGTCAAAATCCAACATGGCTCCTTTCCAATTATGGGACTGTAATAGACGGCGTATTCACACTTTTTTTTTTTTTTTGCCTGTGTGTTTATCTGATTAAGTCATTTATACTCCTAGAAAAGAGAGGTTTGAGCAGAGATATCAGAACAAAGGGAATTGAGGGAACAATTAGGACTAAATACATTTAGTTAATTCAAATTCAAAGTTGTGTATATCACTCATTGACATATAAATGGAGTATATTCCCATATTTATGCAGGATAGTTAACAGTGGAAAAAGGTACAGAGAAAAAAGAAAAAAATAAGAATGAATTTTTAGGTCCACTCCCACCATGCTGAATGATTCAGTCCCAAAAAAAGAAAGAAAGAAAAGAAAAACAGAAGGTAAATGGCCCTTTAAATCGTCATGGTGCTGGCATGCGCAGTAGCATATCCGAGTCAGACTTGATTACGTACACTTTGTGAGAACGTAAGTTTGGATTGGCTACAAATGCGGAAACAACAACGACTCCATACAGCTGGTTTTCTCTCAAAGGAAATATGACAGATTTTTAATATTTTGAATAACAACTTTTCGTTATTCAGGACATTCTGCAAAGCTGAAAATATTTATTTATTTTAAACGGGGAGTTAGAGTTTTCAGTTCGTCTTTCTGAGCTGTCAGGTGCTTGTTTCGCTTCGTCCGTTTTGGCAGCTGGTCGGAGTTCAGTATGGACGCCGACGGTTCGGTGTCGGACGAGTCCGGGAGGAGGCGGAGGGTGCACGGCATGCTGAAGCTTTACTACGGGCTAAACGAGGAGGGTAAGATCCCGGAGCAGCCACAGTCCCTGGATCCCTGCGACATCAACGGGCCGCATTTTGACCCGGAGCTCTACCTCAACAAGGTGCTTTCTTTTTAGCTTCTACTATCACGCAGTAGTAGTGTAAACATAAGTCGCTAAAGCCACTCATACATTTTCCAGCACTTTATATTTACATGTAAATACGTAGGATGACTTTGAGGTCTTGCTCTGGAAACACAAGTGTTCTGTATTAAAGGATGTTTATGCCCGTTATGCTTCTTAAACTGCAGCTGAGAAGAGAGTGCTCCCTTTCTGAGCTGATGGACCATGAGACCTGCATGGTGAAGCAGATCCGCTCTCTGGACAGTGACATGCAGACCCTGGTCTATGAAAACTATAACAAGTTCATATCTGCTACAGGTAAAGTAGATGATACAAATGTATCTGTAGCCCCTGAACTACTTCATGTTTTGTCACGTTACATCCACAAACTTCAATGTGTGCAATAGACCAACATAAAGCAGTGTAGCATTGTAAAGCGGAAGGATAATAACACAAGATTTCATCAATAGATTAAGTTTCAAGCCATGTTCTCAGTTTGCTTTAGGTCTGTACTTTGACTGGACCATTATAACACACAGACTCATCTAAACTATTAGCCTGCAACTTGCAGCTCCCCACACAGACTCATCTAATTTCAAAGTGGCTCTGTGAAATTGCACAATGACTCTTAATAATTTGATTAATATTGGAAAACCAACAATTAAAAAAAAAAAGAAATATAGCTAAAGCTACAGTGGATTTTAGCAGTTTTATAGTTATTTGCATGGAATAAATTCAGTATTAAATGTTCACAAGTACGGTATTAGTAAAACTAAAACAAAAAATCTCATTATGTTGGAAACTCTTTTTGTTTACGTTTTCCACAAATATCAAAAGCCCTAAAAAACCATTATTGGTGAATCCTGTTTTTGTAAATGTTTTATGTTTTTCTTTGTTTTTAAGCATAATGACAGAAATAACGTTTTTTTTTTAAATGATCACGAGTTTTCTATTGTAGATATTTATTAAACATTTTTAAGTTATCTTTTCACAAAAGACTATTTAACTCTTATGGCTCTAACGTTTTATTTAGCTCCACTGAGGGCCAACGTTAATTTCATTTTGTCACTCGTTCAGAAAGTACCTCATATTCATGGCACATGCAGTGAAATATTTAAATCATTTATTTCTTGTAATTTGATTATTGTGCAAATATAATGGACATTTTTAATTGTATGCATAATGAATCTATTTGAGTTTTTCTTTCTGATATGAGTGACCAAAAAATGCTGAACATTTTCCACAAATTTTTTGAGATGTATTTGTAGCACACTTTAATACAAATGATAGACTACTTTGTATTAATCTAACATACACATTTCAACAGATCACATTGAAGTTTTCAGTTGTAATGTGACATAATTTGTGAAGATTTAAGGAGACTGAAGACCTTTGCAAAGCAT